AAAAGTAGAATAGAAAGATGTCGTAACTAGAGAAATAAAGGAGAAGGGAAGGAAAGCTGAAGAAAGAGGGAAAGGTAGATCTTGGGAAAGAGAACAGAACAGAATGATTACAGAATAGAATGTATTAATAAAATAAGTAGCTATACAAAAAGGAAAGAAAGTAGAAAGTAGAACAATGGAAACAGCAAACTATTTTCCTTTCCCCCTTTACATTTTTACAAAGCTTAGTTTTCTGATAGAAAGACAGCTGGTAAAACACCAAAATACCTTCCAAAATGTTAGATGCAATAGGTAGTAGATCACCTATACTCATGTGGGTACCTGCTATTTGAGTTTGTTAAGAAAGAGGATTTCCCTTGTGGCAGGATGTACAGCCACTGGTATCTAAGTGTTTCCTAAGGACCTTACCAGAGAGAACAAAACACACAGCCCTCACCCACCTCTGCAAACCCTTCGCTGACACAGGTTAAGTCTTGCAGCCCACCTGAAGGTGAGGTCCTCCTGGCTCTGTTGGATGAGAGAGGTCCTTCCCCCCACAATTACCCTATTTCAGCCATCAGCAACCAGCCCCCCATACCTGCCCTACAACAACCCCTCCTGCAGCTGATGAAGCCACCAGTGCAATCTGCAGTTTGGCAATCAGTGGCCCAAATGCAATTAACCTACTAACTCCAGGCTAGCATTCTTAATCCTGGAAAGATATTTTCACTAGCAACCTCATCAGAGAGACCAAATCAAGCTGGACATGATGAGAAGTGTTTGCTTTGAGCTAGCACCAGAGATACAGGGGGAGCACGCCTTGCCATGGGGTGCATTGGCTGCTGCTCCCCAGGCAAGGGGATACATCCTTCCTTGGGAGCTATCGGTCTGACACCTTGCATGAGCACTCAAATTAACCATTAAATGTAGTCTTCAATAAATACAGGTTAAAGGAAAGGGTTTCTTTGACAGTGACATTATTTGGTCTCTCCCCTTGAAGGAGGGATGCTATGCAAATAGGTTTAACTCTGAATATCTGCTACACAGTGTTTCCCTTCAAAAGTCAGTCCAAACCCAGTGTTACATTAGACCATTTGGAAGTCTGAAGACTTCTCAGGAATTGCAGCTTGTGATTAATCTACATTTAACTCGTATTTTACACATACCGTTCTCCAAAACATCACATTTCACATATTGCCTGTCCACATCCCCATGCCTGCAGCAGAAGAAATGTAGAGCTGACACCTTAACATGTATTTCATTTACATCCCACACCACTGTTCAGCTCTGAGGAGCAAAGCTCCTCCACAACACCAGGCTCTGCACTGCAGAAATGCTGTAAAACAGGGCCTATAATAAAGGCCTCAAGCTGAAAAGTTTCTCCTATTTGAATTGGTATGAAACATAAGAAACTGTCTCCCAAGCTTAAATTGTCATCTGGCAATAGGCACAGAACCTGGCTAAGAAATTATTTTTCTTGAAAAATCCAATGATTTGTAGTGGGCCGCTGTCTTCGTAAATGAACATTTATTATTGTTGTTGTTTTTTCCAGACACAATAGAAGAGTGAATGGTAAACCTGTATGAATACTGCCCCTCATTTTCCTTTAAGAAATGTTGAAAACCAGTATTGGTATTGCTGGAGATTAATGGCTGCTGCTCAGAAAGTGTACAGGGAATATATTTCTGCCAGGACAAATACATAGGCTGTTCAACAAAAATCAGTGAAGCACAGATAGGATTGTATCGTCATTGTAAAGATGCATGCTGCCTGTCTTGCTCTGTAAGGAATAATATTCACATGTTGGTTTGACCAAAATCATTGTAACTACCAAGGAAATGAATACTGCACTTCATGGTCAGTTTTATTCTACTGGTGGTTGAAGTTTTCTTTTCAAATTAGTTTTGCAGTATTTAAAAATTAGATTTTTTTTTCCAGGTATATGAAGAAATCCTTCATGGACTTTTTCGCCCCTGTGTATTCAATATGTGTTTAAAGACCATGAAATCACTGCTTTTTTATATCATCAGTGAGATCTCACAAGAGAAAAGACACTCTACTGAGCTATAAGGCCTTTAAAATCAATCCCTGTCATCAGTTCATTTGTTTCCCACTCCCCTTCAGAGAGGTTGCACTTAAGAGCTCTCCTGCCATGTATATTGGGATACATTTTCATCACCACAGCTTCTGTATACTTTTTCTCCCCTTTTGTTTTCTTACAAAATAAGGCCTAGGCTATCGTGACCTCAGCCGTTTATGAGAACCTTTCCTTCTCTACATTCAGTAAGTGCACAGGGCCCAGCCAGGAAATCTGACGACATGCAAAGCCAAGTCCAACTTGGCCCTAGAAGCTACAGCACAGGCAAGCTACCTGAGGTCATTATAATCTGAAAAAAAAAAAAAAAAAGTAAATAAAAGACATAAACACCACTTCCAGGGCATGTCTCCACAGTTTACTGGCATGTTCACCTTCAAAATGAAGAGCTGGGGGGTCAGGTCCCAAAGTAAGGACTGAAAACCAATACTGACAGCAACATGGCATGGGTCTATGTTTGCTATATTGTTAGATGGTGTGAATAGTGAACTAAGCACACGAAGCAAACGTATACCCTGCTAACCCCATGGTTGTCATGATGAGATTACTTCTTGTGGCTGACCTTGTTGTTTGGGGTTTACAAGGCAGTGTCACCCTGCACTGCGTTCAGTAGCACAGACACGAGATCCATCCTGCTCATGGCTGCTGAGTAAATGGTCATGGTATTTTATCCCGTTTTTTTCTTCAAAAATTATTGGATCTCCCTACAGGTACAGCCTGCTATTATTCTCAAAACAAAATCTTCTTACAATACGTCTATATATTTGCTTTGCCAGTATTGAAATGGATTCAAAATAAACCCACAGTCTGATTTGTCAGTCCAACAAAACGCCAGCCAGCCACCAGAGATGTCCGAACAGATCTGAAAATGAAAAGCCACAAAATGACTCAGTGCATTAGGTCACTGTGACAGCCAGGAGGTAATACCAGAGTATTTACTTTGGCTGGAGTCTTTCTTGGCTCATCTTTGTTTGTAGCGTCAAAGCCAGGCTCTCATCTCAAGCCAAAGTGCTGTAGCTTTGCCCACTTCAGTAATGGTTCAACACAGGTACTAGGTACTAACTAAAACAAGGGGGTCTGAAATGAAATTTAAAACTCCTATGGATTAAAAAGAATGATGATTCTCTTCCCTGCCTGGCAGCAAGGAGCAGAAGAAACAGATGCACTCTAGAGCTACCAGCACGGTGGTCCTCACAATCCTCCTGTGACGCCAGGAATCTTTAGCAGCACCTAGCACCTTGTGGGGTCTGAAAGTATGAATATCCCTAAAAGTATTGTCCAGGGCAATGGGAGTATCATCTTGGTGAGGATTTTCAGCCCATATTACAGTGCAGATGGCAGCTATCCCCAGCATCCCCATAGGGATAAGGAGAACATAGACAGTCCTTTAAATGTTTTGTAACTTGCCCACAAAGTAAAAGACTACGGCAAGAGCCCCATTTCCATGTATTGAACAGGAGAATTACTCAGAGATAAGAATAAAGACTACATTGATTGCCACCCAGGAAACATTGGTGACTATCTTCCTCTCCCCTTTCCAGACCACAAAGGTGACTTCAGGGTAAATCTTTCTGAATGACATGAGCATGATACATTTCTAATGAGGTTTGGCTCTATTCACCACTGAAGCTACATGCCAGCTCCATCTTTTAGGATATTACATATACAAGTTTTTGTATAAAGAATAAGGAAGCACTATAAATATGGATATTGTTGTGTAATGATAAAAGCTTTTTTCCTTTGCAAATTGTGTTCAACAGATTTGCTTGCTTTTTCCCCCAGTTTTCCCCAGACTGTTCTCTGTCTTTGTGACAAAATTGCTTCCTTTGAATGCATATTTCCTGAAATTTGCAAGTACTTTCTGACAAACTGAAGGTGAATTATGTACAGGAAGAGTGATACTTAAGATGAAATCTCAGCGTGCTGGTAATGGTGCAACTCTCAGGTGACTCATATACCAAAGAAATTAACCAATCACTTCTAAAACAATTGCTTCTCTTAATCAGATAAGTTGGTAACAAGTCCAAAATTAAAGTAAACATGTTATGAATGTGGGTTTCAGGGAAAAAGTAAAGCCTTATATGAAATGCTAAATAGTGATGGTTAACTAGAATAAAGGGATTGAGACATAAAATGTTTTCACACAGGTTGGGCAGGTTTTTCCTGCTTGTCCATGGATTAAGTGAAAAATATCATTAAATTGCAGAAAGAAGAATGTATAAATTTGACAAGCAGTCCTACCACAAAAGGGGTTAAGTGTTGAAAAATCAGACGTCTTCATATTGACTTTTTGAAAGACCACATTTCAGCTCTTTATTTTGAGGTTGCATTTTCGCTGAAGGCTGAGGTTCCTGAGAGCTCAGTGATTTATTAGCAATTAAGAGAATCCTCAAAATTGGATGGAAATTTGGGGGATGTGAGTTAAGGACAAAATCAGGCTGGCTGCCACCAAGGGCTTACTTACTACTGGGCTGAGTAAACACGCAGATCAGGACAACTGAGAAAACTTTCAAGTGAGCACTACTCCAAGAAGTAAAACTAATGGACCCTTGCAAGCTAGGGAACACGCAGAGTCCTGGAGGCCAGGTGGGACAGGCAGAGTGTTGGCTGAGCCCTGAGCAACATCTGAATATGCAGAAGGTCCAGGGACCATCTTAAGTCCTTTTTTTCAGTATTATTGATTTGCAGACTTGTCCCTTGAATATTTGCATTAAAAATTACTATTACGCTTACTATATTTGCTTGATGGTAAATAAAGCAGTACTTAAAATTATGACAAGCCCATTGAACACCAGCTACCACTGCTCTCTTCTTATAGTCTTTTGCCTTAAATTTGCATGTCACTGTCAGTTGAGCCCCCTGCAGCTTGGACAACCTGAAAATAAATAAATAGATAGAAAATACAGTGGAAAAGATGATTAATTTACCTGCAGTTCTCCTTCCATTATACTGAGGAGTTTTATCAAGTCCTCTTTAGAAAGCTCTATGGACTTCTTGTTCTTTCGTTCAGTAGGTCCAGGTGATTTTGAGTGCCGTTTGACAGTTGCTGAAACCATGACCTCATCTTCCTTCTGATGAGGTTTGTTCTTTTTCTTGGCATCCTCCTGAAGTTTTTCGTTCTCTGCATGGCTGATGACAGGCTTGGAACTAGAGAAGTGCCCGTTAGACGAGCTTTCTCCACCTTGGTTTCGGGATCTCATCCCTACCTAGAAAGAAACAAATATAAAGATGCATTTATAAACGAAATTACTTATAAAAACCCGCAGCGGAAATACTGCCTTTTGGAAGAACAACAGTCTTTTAAAAACTGAAATATACTGTCATGCTCAAGAGACAGCAGTGGAAGGCTCAGCCATTTCAACAACTCTGTGTGTGGCAGACAGTGAATCCAGGGCATTAATTATAAATTTAACAGAGTCCTAAAGTAATGGTAACCATCCTTTTCAGCATGCCAAGATGCTGATATGAGTTAAAATGTATAGAACTTAAAAGTGATTTTAGGAAAGGAAAATTATAAAGAACATTTTCCAGTGTTCACTTTCCTTCAGTCAACATTTTGATCATTCACAATTCATCACTACAAAACAAAGCAGGTTGTTAAGTACATCTTATTTTAACATGAGGTTTACTTGAGAAG